GCTGCAGTCCCAAATGCACGTGGTTCAAGGCCACCAGTTGCTCCACAGAAGGAGGATGGGCAGTCTCTGCGTTTAACTGCCTCTAAAACCTGCCAGACAGTCGGCAAAGGATCAGTTCTGACTCTACAGTACACAACAACAAGAAGTATCTCCCCTAGAATTGGGAATACTTAACAAGAATGGGGTTTCAGGTTTTAAATTAGAACAACCTTATGATAGACTATTTCATTGACTCTTACTCTATTTTTCCAGATAGAATGAATCTTTTTACATATGTTTCCATTTTTATATTTTGAAAAGTTATGATACGGTATTATAGCTGTTTTTTATCCCTCCTCTGTTAATTAGTGTAAGTTATCAATCTATGTAGCATCAATGTGGTTAGGAGAAGTTACGGAAAGGATTCTCTCAGTCTAATGGTGTGAACACTATAAAAAGTACCAAAGAATTCACAGAGGATCTTGGTTAAGAATTTCTAAATACAGAGCAGATCCTGTTTTCTCTACTCCTTTGGTTTTCACCCTGTTTTAAAATAATTTAGAAAACCCAGTCACAAGAAAAGCCCAGGCTTGGGCTGAGGACATAGGCAGGTTTGGGCGAATGAAGCATGTGAATATCATGAAAACGGGGGAGTTAAGGGTTGACCTCTCCTCTTAGATGTGTCCCACACCAACCACTTTCTCTATTTTTCCTCTTAGATTACTGATAGCATTTACTATTGTTAGATGCCATTGAATTGATTCTATCTCACAGTTAATAAACAAAATATTGCTTGTTTGGTCCTGCACAATCTTTGCGTGTTTGAGCCCATTGCCACAGTCACTGTATTAACCCAGTACGTTGAGTGGTTTCTTCTTTTCACTGACTTTAATTTTGTAAGTATATTGTACTTTGAGGAAGTGGTTCTTTGTGATACCATGTCCAAAGTATGTGAAATGAAATCTCATCACCTTCACTTCTAAGGAGCATGCTGGCTGCATTTCTTCCAAGATGATTTCATTCTTATGACAGCCTATGGTGTATTTGATATTCTTCACCAGCACCATAGGTCAAAGACATCAATCCTTCTTCAGTTTTCCTTATTCTCTTTTCAAGTGGTCACGTGCTTTGAGGCTCTTGAGAAGGCCATGCCACTGGTCAGTCAGACCTTAGTCCTCAAAGTGACATCTCTGCTTCTTAGCATTCTCGGTATATCCTATTGGAGTTAAAAGAAAAACTAAATTTTTTTAATTAATTTTAATGAAAGTTTACAGAGACTTAGAGTTTCCAGTCATTCATTGTTGCACTTTTCTCTCTGCCCACCTCCTCTTCCCCACTTCACTCTTCTCATTGAAAAGAAAAATAAAAAACCTCTTATTGTTATGCAATCCCTCCCCCTAAGTCCACTCCACTATGTAGCCTTCACTCTGGACTTCTGTAATGCCAAGAATACCCATTCATATATCCCTTTTAAACAGTTCTCTCCCTCATCTGTTTCAATGCAATATACATCATTCCTTCCCTCCTTTTTTGTCTTCCCTCAACCCTGATGTCAGTCCCGTTTTACAACAATGGCCCCATGCAATATTTGTTCTTTTGTGACTGAGATATTTCACTCAGCATAATGTCCTCCAGGTTACCCATTTTGTATAATATTTCATGAGTTCCTTGGTTTTCAGTGCTGCATAGTATTCCATTGTGTGATTATACCACAGCTGCTCTATCCATTCGTTTGTTGATGGGCACTTGGGTTGTTTCCAGCTCTTTGCTATTGTGAACAAAGCTATAATAAACATGGGTGTGGATATATCTGCTTGGGTGTCAGTTATGGTTTCTTTAGGGTAAATTCCCAGTAGTGGAATTGCTGGGTCAAATGATATTTCTATTCACAGCTTTTTGAAAAAGCGCTATACAGCCTTAAGCAAAGCTGATTTTTTTTTAATGAGATACCATAAAGAGAAAGCAGGATACAATGAAAAGAGAAAGAACTGGATAAGGCTATTCCCCACCTCTGATTTGTTCTTCCTTTTGTACTTGTCTCTCACGCCTGCCCTTTCTTGGCTTCACACCCCTTCAGTTCTATGATGGATCCTCTCTCATTCAGACAGCTGGCAAATTTGCTGCTAAATGCTATCTCTCTAAGTCCTTGGTCTTCTATTCCAGTGTTTCCTATAAGAATTTATAAGTGACTGCATGGCAAGATGACCTCTTTAGATACCGACATCCCCTCTTGCTGACGACTATGCAGAGAACATGTCCAGGGCATAATGTTACTGCTTCATATGGTTACCATGGGCTTTGGGGGAAGAAAAAAATACTCATATAAAACATATTGTGAAAAGTCTACTTGACAAGAACACAAAAACACTTATATACAAGGAAGAGAGGAAAATACTCAGAGGAAAAGAACGCTAATCTCGTGAATTGAAATTAAGATGTGCACGGATCTAATGAACACTTACTTGAAATAGGGGGACGCTAAGGTTTCCTCTGGAAAATTCTGGTGGCGCAGTTGATAGGGAAGTCCGTACCTTTCTGCCGTTTCAAATCTACAAGCAGTCCTCCGAGAGAAAAATGGGCCTCTCTGAAAGTTTATGGCTATTGAAAATCCCCTGGAGACTCAGCTAGGAGTCAGTTCTGACTGGTGGACAGTGGGTTTGAGTTTGAAGGTTTCCTCATTTTTTAAAATTATGTGGACATATTAAACTTTCCCTTAATGTCCTTGTAACTGAAACGTTATGCTCTTTTGATTTGGCTTTCCTGGAATTTCTGATTCCAATTTCAGGCTCTTCCCCCAACCCCCTCCTCACTAGTAAGAGAGGTGTTTTAGAACTATGCTAAGCAAAAGAGAATCTTTCTTGGCAAACCAGTGAAACAGAGATCATAGCTGTTCTGTTAGGTTAACCTAAGTTCAGACATGGTATTTAACCAGATTGCACCAAACACCCTCTTTCCAAACCTAGGTCAGAAGTTACAAGTGACTACACAGCATGATGACCTCTTCAGCTATACTGTCATTTCTTTCTGAAGAGCACCTGGATGGTGACACTCCTGAGGCATGGTGTGACAATTACTGCTCAGAAGCAATCTTTATTCTGAAACATTTCATGTTCCTAGTGGAGAGGAGAAAATAAGTGAGAGCTCTGGGTCCTGGAATTCTCCTTTGTAAAGGCAAACTCAGGCTTAGCAGAGATGCCTTCCTGAGGAGTCGTCAGCCTTGAATGCCAGGGTGACGGTGTTTGAAACCCACAGAAAAATACACTTGGAATTTCTCTGGGAGGGTGACTGTCAGTTTATTGGATTTTCTATTTCTCTTATCCAGGAGTTGTTGTCATGTGCTGTCAAGTTGGAACCAGCTCCTAACTGACCCTCTAACAGGTTTTGTGAGGCAGTAAATCATGCAGGAAGAAGTCTCTCTTCTCTCTCTCTCTCTCTCTCTCTGAGCAGCTGGTGGATCCAAGCCACATACCTTAGGGTTGGCAGTACCATTTTTTACAACTAAACCACCAGAGCTCTCTAGTCGGTGTAGCGCCTTAAAAGAAAAAAACAAAACAAAACAAAAAAGACCAAAGTCAAAAGTGGAGGGAAAATAAAACAGCCTTCTGGTTTATGCCCCAGGCCATCTTCCTTGTAAAGCTGTGGTAGCTGTTGGAGTTCTGCCCTTGAACTCCAGTTGTGGGCCTTCTGAGAACCTCTTCAAGCACACAGAGTTCTCACATACAGCTGCCCTTTCTCTCCTGTTGTCTCTTTACTACTTCTTCTGTGTCAAATCACTCAGCAGTTGATTTTGTTGCGGTTTTTTGTTTGTTTGTCTCTTGTTTTATACCGTCGAATTGGATCCAACTGGCACAGGAGGAGATTGCCCCTCCTTCTCTTCTCCAGCAGAATCTGGTGGTTTTGAACCATGCACCTTTAAGATTGCAGTGCAGCTTCTTGCCACTAGGCCACTAGAGCTCCCTTAGAAGTTGATTTTGGATGGAAGAGTTATGAGCATCAGGTCAAAATGATGAGGTCTTTTTGCTCATAATCTGGAAACATTATGGCCTATAGACTGTTCTGGATTTTGGAGAGGAACTAAAAGCCCTGCCCATTTATTTCCTGGGCTCTCCATGTGTTCTGTTAAAGCAAGCTTTTGCCCGCCTTCACATCTCTCACTTCAGGGCCCATAACAATTTGCCATTTTTAAAAATCTAAATATAATGAAGGGAATGTTTCCTCTATTTATGGAAAAGGAAACTAAAGATCTCTGGTGGCACAGTGGTTAAAATGCTTAGCTGCTGACTGAAAGGTTAGTGGAACCCTTTAACCTCTGTGTGGGGAAAACATGTAACAATCTACATCTGAAAAGAGTGCAGACTTGGAGATCCTATTGGGCAGTCCTCGTCTGCCCACTGGGGTCATTTGAGAGTCAGAATGGACTCAAGGGCAGCCATTTGTCTTGTTTATTTGAAAGGAAGATTAGCATCAGTATCCAATCCTAACAGTTTTTCTTCCTATCTTTAAATCCAGCTGCATTGCTCTTGAAATGATAAATAAGTTATAGTACTAAAAAAGCAAAACAAAATAAAACAAACAAACAAACATGTAAGATTGCCCAGTGCTAAATTTGCACTTGTCGTAGTCAATGCAATACCTTTGCAGCTTGGTGAGTTTAGATTTTGAAAACTAAATGATTTGCACCTAAATTTCTCTCATGCACATAAATTTTCTGTAAGACTTGGTTTTAATGAACATTACGTGGTTGACTAGATATTGCATAATAAGCACTCGAAAAAAGTTAAGCATAACCTAGCAGTAAGTCATTTGCAACTATGAGTCACTTTCCTAACAAGCCAATAAGGTAAACGAACCTGGATTGCGAAACAATAACTAGTCCTGCCTGAGGGCCTCTAGAAGTGTATCACAGGGATCAGATGGGAAAGCAGCAGTCGGGCTTTACCAGGCTGCAAAGAACAAGCTGAAGTTGCTAACTGAACGAAATTACCTTGCACTGACAATGCCAATTTTCACGTTTGTTTCAGAACAAGGGACACTCAAACCTCTGGAGGTAAGATTAACATTTAATATTTGTTTCTACTGAAAGAATAGATTTTTGTGTTTTAGGTTGTTTGGTAACTTAGAAAAGATTTAGCGTTTAGAATGTTATAAGTACTTTTTTAAGTGGAAAAAAAATAAAGGTGGAATGAGGATAAGCCTGCTAGTGCTTGCAAATGACATGCATGACTTAAATCTTGACAATTTCCCTAGTCATGGTCTGGGAATAAATAAATATGAATATGTAAGCTAGCACTGTACAATGGGGGCACTTTGGAATCTTAGGTATTTACTCACTCAGGTAAGTTCTAAATAGCATAGTCACACTGTGGCGCTAATATAAGAATGCATTTTCTTGGTACCCTGCTATGTTGTTGGTATGTGCCATCGAGTCGTTTATGACTCATAGCAACCCTATGTACATTAGCTCTGAACCCTGCCCTGTCCTGAGCCCAGCTCATCGTCTCCAGAAGACCTAATCCCATTTAAATCCCTAATGTTCATAAAGTTTAATCCATCTGAAGATGTTCCCTTGGCATGCCTAGCACTGATTCTGTAAGTTCAGAAGGAAAGGTGTCTCTCAGCCCAAAGAGCTGGTGGACGTGTCTTTTGCTAAGAAGCGTCATGCTGCTACTGAACTTTTGCCAGTAATGAATGATAACATGAGTGGATGGTGAAGTTGTAACATTATAGTAGATGTGGGTTTCAGTATCAAGTAGTTTTTCAATTGAGCATAAACGTTAGTCTTCTAATTAGTCTTCATAAACATTAAATCTTCTTGATCAAAATAAACTTCTGATAACATTTCCCTCCTATTTAATACAAAGTCTAATCTGTACTTACGTAGTTGCATATTAATGCTGTCATATTTCAGAATAAAGTTACTAGAACAAAGAACACAAAAGAGCGACATACAGTGTAGGTTCCAGATAATCATTGTCTTGACCAGTTGGAACTAACACATTCTTCACTTGGTCCCCTATATAGTATATACTGACAAAAACTAAGAATATCACAGTGATGAAACAAAAAATGCTAAGAACGTATGATTAGTTAGGTGAACCACAAATCATGTGAGAACTTCTGAATAAAATAATAGAAAAAAATTATATAGCAAAGTTGTTTCAACATGCTATAATTTATCTCTTTAAAAGTAGAATTAATTTAAGTTTTAAATAAGATAGTGATTATATATTTGGTAAGAATTAAAATGTACAATAAGATGTCCTGCAGGAGATATTTGTTTCTATATTACTTTAATATGGCTTTATTCTAAGAGGTATCACAAGAATGATATTTTACAGTAAACTAATTAGAGCATCAGTTGATCTTTTAGAATCTAGATCAGGGTATTAAAACCAGGATAATATTGAAAATAAACTACATCATTTATTTTCAGGCTAAAATAACCTGAAATGTTAACCTAAACGTTAGCATTTAGTTAGCAAGCTAAAATGTTTTGGAAGCTCTGTGGGGTCCTCTTACAGCATTGAGGACCTTGGAAGACAACCTCCATTGACCTCCTCACTTTTGCTGTTAGTAGGCGTCGAGACTCACTTCCTTGTAGAGCTCTGAACATTAGCCCAGTGTTCTTTAACATTGATCCGATTAGTTAGATATTATAAGTCAAATGGTTTCACTTTATTTTAATTAAGCAATGTGAAGTGGGTATATTTACACAAGGAAAGTGTGCTAATAAGTGGTTAATAAGTTTCACATGATGTTAAATAATTCTCCCAGGCACTTTTCTACTCCTGAAAATGACACATAAGCCTACTATGAAAGAAATTAATTTTCACGTTGATTTTTTTTCAATGTAGCATCATTTTTTAGTGACTTGCTAAATTTCTGAATATAATAAGTGTCATTTTTAATTAATAATTATTCTCTCTTCTAACTGGATATGTAATTGCAGTAAGCTTTTATGTTTCCCTCACTATTTGGAAGTGTTGGTTTTAAGAAAGATATGTAGCAAAAGAAGCATCTTTCATCTTACAACTCCCCACCAAGGTGGCATATAAAGAATGTCACCATTAGAGGCAGCAGAGTCTTCCAGGAAGTCAGTGGTGAAGTCCTTTATATTTTAATAAAATTTTTATTTTGATTGTGATTTTAACAAAAGTTTATAGTAAAGTTGGATTGTCATTCATTCAGTATTGCACATTTGCCCATCTTCCTTCCATCCGCCTTCCCAGTTCACTTTCTTTTTTTAAATATTCATTCATTGAAATCCTTTTTAAGATCTGTGATTCTTGCCCCCTCTTTGAGAATCTTCCTCTCCATGTACGAGTTGACAGACCTGCAGCATAACATTATCCCTCTCCCATTTCAGTAGCCATGCTTTTGAAGTGTTTTAAAATTTTATGCTACATTTTCAAAGTCAGTTTTGTATAGTCATGCATTCTTGGAGGTCCATAACCACACACAAAGGGATGTTTATCTTACATCCCATTCTAGGGTGATCCTTCAGAATCCTTCTCTGACTTCAAAAAGCATGTTCATTGTTATTGTCTCTTTAGCTACTTCACATTCAGGCTTTCCTATTTTTAAATCAGGTACAGAAACTAAAGTTAGTTCATGAAACAATGTGGTGTTGGTAAAATCCACAGAATTAATTTTTTAACAAAAAAGCCAGGAAGAAAGAGAAACTTTTTGTGGTTGTTCTTTGTTCTTGTTGCTGTTTGGTTTTATTTTTTTGAGGTTGGGGTTTTTTTAAATGTGGGGTTTTATCCCCCCTTCAATTTTGTTTGTTCTTTTTTAAGAGAAAGCAAAGTGAGCTACAAATCAACTATTTACAGAACTAGGCGAATTTTCTGTCCTCTACATAGCTCAGAGGATATTATGAAGGATCTGGGGACAGATTCTTCTGATCTTGTAACTAAGTGGAAGGTGTGTGAGGGGGAGCTGTTAGACATGCCTGAGATGTCTTCTTTTGCTTCTGGAGACAGAAGTGTGTTTAGCTCTGGCTCAGACTTCTGAGAATACAAGGATGGACAGAGTTAATATTGGACAGACTACCATACAATGACAGTTGAAATTGATGCTTTAAAATTATTTTAAATATGTCTGTTGAACGTTTCCAAGTTTCTTTCCTTTTTTAAAAAAACACCATATAAAATACTTTTAGGTGCTTTTAAAGTGTAATAAATGTTAAACCCTCTAGCTTTATTTGGTCTAAGTACGTAGCAGAGATTTTTTTCCTGTTGGGAGCGGATTTTCCTCCTTAACTGCTTCCAATCACAGTTTATTCAACTACCCAACCTTCCTGGAAGAAGCTTTCTGCCTTCAGGGTGATCAATTTACAGTGATTTTCCTGAAGGAAAACCTAGAACATAGTAGGGCAAGAGATTAATAAAATATTATATGCTTCATGGGAACTTAAACATTCAAGTACCAATAAAATATTTGATATAGGAATGTTTTACCCTCATGGTATATTGTCTTTAAAATTACTGCTAGAACATAATTCTTGCAGTAAATAAAAATGATGATAGCAATAAGCTGTCACTTGGTAATGCTTACCATGTGGCAGAAACTGTTCTAGGTACCTAATAGAACACTAACATAATGATTTCTTACCACAAGTCCTAGGAGGTCAGTATTATTATTATTCTCACTTTGTACACAGACATTAGCCAAATTGCTTGAGATCACATGAGTGCCATGAGGCAAAGTCTGAATGGAGGCTGGGAAGTCCTGATTCCAGAATCCATTTTCTTACTCCTATCACCAAGCTGCCGAAATTCAAAGTATTACTCTTGAGTCAGCCATCTCTTTTGTTGTGGCCTCTTCTCTATGTATCTCTGTCATAGAAATATTTTCATATGGATTCTTTTTATATTATAAAATTCACAGTCAAGATTCACCAACTGTCTGCTTGTTTTATTTTTTTTAAACTATTCAGAGGTAAGAGTTTCATAATTGAAACACAGTTCTCTGTTAAGTTGCTAAAATTGAAGCTTGCGAGCTGTTTTTAGGTTTTACAACTTCTCCAATCTCTGGTCTGTCAGACCCCAGTAAGAAGGACTGAGTTAGAGTTTTAGACAATCAGTTGAGCTCTATTGTGAAGAGACATCCAGAAATATCTACCAGGGCTTTGTTCTCATATTTCCTGTAGCCACTGTGACTTACAGAAAAGAAAGAAATTGTGTGAATACCCAAAGATGGCAGACAAAAAGATACCTCTTTTCCCTTGTGTTAAAAATATCAACAATTTATCAAAAGCAGTGCAAGTAGAAGACTTTATTAGAGAGATCAAAGGTTAAGACACATCTCTACCTACTCATCAGGTTATATATACATAAACTCAATGCTGCTGCCATTGAGTTGATTCCAACTCATAGTGGCGCTCCATCAGAGTTCTGAGGGTATGAATCTTAACACGTTGCCGCATACTTTTTAAATTGACGACCTTGCTTAGGAACACATTTGTGGTCATTTGCAGCAACGTGTTTAACAGGAGGATACTGTTGAGCAGTGCAACATGCCAACGTGTGCGTGTGTATATATATATATATATATATCTGCATAGTATATATAGATATGTGTATTTATACTTACTATAAACACTGTGACTTGTAAAAAAGTTCAAAGATACGTATGTAACTTTAAATGTATGTGTTTTGAGTAAACAGTATATTTTTAATTTGACAAAGTATAATATTCATTGGCATTCCCGAGTGTCAAAATGAATACAAAATGATAATACAAAATCACACCAGCTTGTTTCTGTTTTGCTGTTTTCCTTTTCCGTACAGAAACGGACCAATGGACTTCGAAGGACACCCCGACAAGTGGATCCGGGTATGCTTCTGATTACGCAGTATCTTCTCTGCTCTCCAGTGCGCAGCTAGTGCTTTCTGCATGCCTGAGACACAGAGCTCCATAGATGTGTGCTTATTATTAGGTAGCCCTGTTGTCACAACAGCTCACCATATGGCTTTTATGAAAAGGTTGACTTTTAGAATCCACACAGCAGGTCCATAGGAGAAAGAGACTGGTGATCTACTTTCGGTAAGAGAATACAGCCTAGAAAGCCCTATGAAGCATTGCTGCTCTGTCTCATGGGTTCATTATGAGTTTAACTCCAGTGAATGACTATGGAAATAGCTGGTGATTACTGTAGACCAACAGACATATTGTTGAAGTGAGTGTAGAATGTGTGACTGGAAGCTGGTGGCTTAATGTGTAAATCATTCACCTGACAGTACTTCCAAGGACAGGGTCACATGATGCCGAACCACCTATGTAGTACTCTGTTCATAAGGAATAAATAACGAGTCATTTGCTCATTAAACCGCCTCAGGGCGCTTGGTTAATGTTAACGTATCTAGAACCTCCCCTTCTTTCTTCAAAATCTAGAAAGAAAATCAAGCAGCAAGATTGCACTTATAAACTAGCATTTTTCTAAGAGGTTGTGGAAGGAATGAACCAAGCAACTTAGGCACCCTCCTGATTTGGGAAAGTACTTGTCTTCGTGCTCAGTCCATCCTACTTAATAATGGAAGCACATAGATTTAAGGGCTTTGCAAACTAATGTCCTCTCTGGAGGCCAATTATTTGCATGCAGAAAACATTCAGCTGTTTTCTATTTAACATTGCAAGGTCTGCCCTGTCGTTATTTTAGTATAATTATTTTTTTCCCATGGAGCAATGCCTTCCACAGTTTAACTACCACAAGTTTGTTAGGTGTTTGGTCATATGATTGCAAAGAAAGGTATTCATGGCTAAAGGATTCCAAATATAGGAAATTTGTAATAAATCAAGAGGAGCACAAAATATCTAGACACCTTCCTGGGAAGTAGTCTGAATGAGTGCATTTTGTTTTCTTTTGTTTTCTCATCATAACCAGTGTTCACTGCATTGTAAAGCTAAGTTTCACACTGTTATGGCTTTTAACCAAAACCACACCTATGGTAGCCATGCCAGTTTATGAGGTGTTTGCAGTTTATGAGAGCTTTGCTGCCTCTGGCTAGAAATTGCCTCACTTGAGTCCTGAAATCGGTTTAAACCTTTTAACTACCGAACAACATTCGAAAATGTCTCTGGGTTACTTTTTAATAGTTCTAACTTTCTCAAAACAATACCCTGTCTGGTATGTCTTGTTTCCCTCCCCCCACTGGAAAAAGTGCATTTATGAATGTATTTCTCACTTTCTTACACTTTTTGGTAAGTGAAAGTTGGTGGTCTTGCCTGTTGTAGATGATTATGTGGTAACAGCTGTTTTCCTCAGAGCTGTCTTCTCATATTCAGCTGGAATTATTTGTTTAGAGGTTGCTTGTTACCTACCACTCTGCCTGCATTTGACTGGTAGCAGTCATGGATGGTACATTGAGAGTTTCTTTGTTCAAAATGAACCCTTTTTTGACCAGTATTTAATCTGATGTGGCTTTTGCTTTTAGAAGGTTGCTACATTTTTGCAGGATATATACCACTCAAAGATGTTTTAAAAAGAGGGTGGTAAAAATTGAAGTAACCTAAGTTTGGGCCAGTAGCTTCCAAGGGGCACTATACACTGTTAGTGCTTTTACTATGGAAGTTGAACTAGTGGTAAGAAGCTGTGCTACAATCCTGAAAACAAGCGGTTCTAGGCCACCAGTTACTCTGCGGCAGAAGGATGGACAGTCTCCTCCCATGTGATAAACTGTTTCTGGAAACGCACCAGAGGGTCAGCTATGAGTCTGTTCCAACTCTGCGATATACAACAACAACAACAACAGCTAATTTTGTTGATACCTTCAAGTGCTAATGCATTGACTACTTCCTAGGATTTCAGTTAGAATAGCTTACGGGGATGGGAAACAAATAAAAATGATTGATTAAACCATTTGGGAGGCCAGGTAACCATTTCATCATGTCCAAATTTCAGAACCATATAAAAAAAGTCACATTTTTTAAATTGACGTTCACTTTTGCAAAGGAACTTAACGCAGTTCTGTGAGTTCCCTTCCCCACCCCAGTCACTCTTAAATTAATTCCAAATCATTCTGGCCCCATGTGCTCCATAAAGTTTTCATTAACTGAAATTTAAGAAGTAGGTGACCAGGCATTTCTTCCATCTCACCTCTGGTAGGTTTGAACTTCCAACTTTTTTGGGTTGCAGCCAGATGTGAGAACCATATCCACCTCCCAGGCTTTTTGTCTATGGATAGTAGGTGCTCAATAAATGTATGTTAAATAAAATACCTCATGCCTTTAGTCTTAAACTTTTTTTATATGTGTTGGCTCTATTGTTTTTCCTTTTCCCTGCTGCTATGTTAAAAGAACATGGTATAGGGAGCACGGATCTGTTTCTGGTGGCCTGATTTTGCCTGTTTATTTGATCTTTGACCTTCAGCAATTACTTCATCTCTTGTTTATAAAAAGAGAGGAATGGAAAAACCTACCCTATAAAACTGTAAAGATTAAATACGTTAACAGGTGTAAAGTGCTTAGTAGAGTGCTTAATTAGAAAACCCATTCATTGCTGGTTAGTTGACTCTGTTTATAGCGACCCTTCACTGGGTTCTGGGGCCTAAAATTCTGATGGTTACCAGCCTGCAGTGGAAGATACTCCCACAGAGCAGCTGGTGTATTTGAACCATGGATCTTTTGACACCACCGGGGCTGCCTCATGCCTACTGTATAGGGCATAGAACTAAGTGGTAGCAATTATTATAGTTATATTTATTACAACATATAGTTTAACATAGACATTTTGTCATTTGTCTGTGTGTATGACCGTCAATACTGTTTGTCAATTATTTCTTTGCAAAACTTTTTGAATTTAGTGTTGAATTTTACTCAAGACACATGCTAGATAATAACAGTCATTTTCAAATTTGCTGTAATTCTGAGTCCTCTTATCTAATAGCTTTTGTGATTTTTTGTTATCTTTATGAGGAAACTCAGTCCACAGTGGTGGTTAATGTTTATGGTGAAATTAACAGTGTTTGTGATTGCAGTAAAGAAAGAAAAAAAACCCCAAGGTTTAAAAGGTATATTGCATAGTTTAAAACGTATGCTATTTTAACCCGAGAAAGATATGTTTGCTTTGTGGTTAACATTCACATTTGAAACATTCACTCTTTATAGACAAAATTTGCAAATTACTTTGTAATTTAACTTGATATCTCCTGTGATGTGATAAGAATTTTATCAATTTATAATCTTGACTGCTATGTGGTAGGTGCAAGGTTTGGTAGCTTTTTCTAGTTTCTTAAATATAGCAGGGTATTTTCATCAGTTTATACTTTTCTTCCTGAGACAGATGTTGGGATCAGGAAAATAACACTTGAAAGAGACAGATCAATTATTTCAGGAACACGGAGGTGCTAGGCCTTTTTCAAGAACATGAGATCATAAATCTGAAGAAAACTTGAGCACTGGTGTAATATTTTTACTTAAAGTGACACTCAAGGTCAAAGTTACCAATTAAATTTTAATACTAAAGCTTTAACATTTTCTGTCTATCTAAGTATAATAGATTCAAGAATTATTTTCATTTGCATGTGGCAAATCTGCAAGGCAGAAAATGCCCTATTTCTCTCAGGTCCATGGTTTCAGACTATTGTAAAATTGTTGTAAGTTTACATAACTCATATCATCCTAAGCCTGTGGTCACAAGCTTTTAAAAAATTCATACCATTGTTCTGTTACCTGAAGATTAGATGGACTAGTTGGGAGAGGTCTACATTGCTTGCTCTCTTCTGATCTAAAGTTACTTGGGATTTCTGATAACCTTGAACAGCAAATAAATATATATTGGTCAAACTGATAAAAAACAAGTCATTCCTGAAGGATCTTGCTCTTACGTGCTCATTGCTTAAATCTTGATTGCAAAGAAGTAAATAGAGCTTAGAAACACTGAATTTTTCAGTGAAGAGGTTTTTTTTTTTTACTATTTCTTAGCAGAGGCATGTTTAAAGATGATTACTTTCTTTTTCAGATTAATATTTAACACCACTCTTGGATTTTCTTATACGGAAAAGTTGATTCAAGAAAACTTTATTTTATTAACAACTCTGTGTTTTATATGATATTAAGCAAAGTTTAAAATATGACCGATGCATGACAAAGAATTTATGTTCTATCTAGAAACAATACAAAGTTTGAATTGAATAAATACGAATGTGTGTGTACAACACACACTAATGTTGTATTCCATTTTTTATTACTAATTCATTATAGTAAGGCACAATGTCATAAAAATAATTAGGTGGTAGACATTTCAACATATAGAAAGATCTAATTATGTTTTATATGCAAAAAAATACAAAAGGAATTGGAAAAGAGAGATCCAATTGTGAACCAAATGACTTGCAAGTTATGTGTATGTTTTCATTTATATAAATGACATTTTCAATATATAAAAATTTAATTATATATTTAATCATAATTAAATATAACTCTTAAGTGTTTTAAAGCTAAGGTATTGATAAATTCATACCAAATGTAGACAAAATTGTAGGTTTCTTTTAGATTTGTTTTTAAACAAAATGATAATTTATGCAGTAAAAGAGTTTTGTGCTTTTGTCCCCAGTAGAAAGTGCTGATGAGAAAAATATAAACCTGTAATTTTTAAAAATAACTGAATTAGAAAACATTTTGGAAGAAGATACATATTCTTGAAAGTTTCCATCAATTAATTTTTGTCTGTAATAAATAAGTAATAGTTTCCATAGATTATGACATTTCCATATTAATCAGTCAAATCTACTTCTGTCTTTTCTGTCACCTCCAAAACTAATTTCTCATCAAATATAAATCCTAGTCTAAATATTAGGAGCATAATTGTAAATGTATAAAAATATATTTCACATTGA